TCAACATGCATTCACATTTTCGAGTTCAATCTAAGAGAGGAAAACCGTAGCCTACCTGTGGGCCAATCACACGAGCTCCAAAATCACTTCTCCGGAGCTTTCCCTTTCCGAACGTCCTCAAAACGCTTCCCCGCTATCAAAAATAGAATCACAACGTTATTACATTCGTTTAGACACTAAAATCACAACAAACGGAGACGAGTCAATTTTGGAGTCAAAACGAGAATCGTGGGACCCGCGCTGGAAACTTCAAAATTACCCCAAAAGTAGGTCCTAACCAGTTTCCCCCAGCTCATATCCCAAAATGAAACACAATTCAAGGCTCGGGAACAACACACTACCAACATACAACTAAAACACAAATTTTCTCAAAAACTTTTGGAAGTGGGACCTACTTTTTATCGAAATGACCTTTGATGGAAATTTCGACTGCGCCGTTGAGTCTGGAATATCGAATTTGGTATGGTTGCATATCTCGTTTGCGTGCACGGGGTTCCGAACGAGATCGGAACACCCCATCGGAATTTTAAGTTTTGGAAATGTTGCAGATTTTCTGCAATAAATTGCAGAAAATCTGCAACATTTCCAAAACTTAAAATTCCGATGGGGTGTTCCGATCTCGTTCGGAACCCCGTGCACGCAAACGAGATATGCAACCATACCAAATTTGATATTCCAGACTGAACGGCGCAGTCGAAATTTCCATCAGAGGTCATTTCGATAAAAAGTGGGTCCCACTTCCAAAAACCATTTTAAGTCAAAACCCACAAAAGGGCTCGGAAAGATATCGAAAACCTCGGGACACAAAAGAAGGGTCAATCTAGACCAAAATCGACATTTCGGAGCTAACCACGCTGACGGAATTCTCATCTGAGCGCGTTTACTCAGAATGTTGACCAAAGTCAAACTTAAGCCAAATTTCAAAGGCTAAAACGCTTAATCGCACCGACTCACACTGAAAACCTCGGGAGTCATGACGACCATGCTACTAGCCTAAAATGACCCTTCCAGAGCTGATAGAATCGTTAGAATTGGATTCCGATGTCATCTTCTTGAACTTTTGATCGAAAATGATCGTTCAAGGTTCATAAGCTCCAAAACACAAAAACTCGCACCAAGACCAAACGAACGACCAGGTGACCGAACTGTCAGTCCCAGCAAATCATAAATGACTTGGGGTCGCTATAGGAACGCTCTAAACGACACACCGAAGGCAAGACACAGAAATGACCAAGAGGGTCATTACAAAAGTACTGCTTTTTTATCTGGTCAACCTCTCACTCTCAATCTTTTATAGATTGATTTGTGAAATTTATGGGCCACCCACTATTATTCTTGTCTCTTTTTCTTTTTTTTGCATTAATAATTGACTGAAGAGTCTCTTTTCTCTTTTTTCCTTCTTTGTTTTTATTCTAAAAACCTGTTTGGATTGACTTATTTTAAGTGCTTAACTTTTTAAGTACTTTGGGATTGTTTGGGTAAAATAATAAGTGTTTTTAGCACTTGTTCTCACAAACTAGGCTCGAACTCTGTTCTCTTTCATCGGGTGTACTCACTCGGTCACTCCCCTGTTCTTCTTCCTTGATTGTTTATCTTTTCCACTTTTCCAATTAATTAAATCTGGACAAGAGATATACGTGAGCAAGTGTATATAAATCTCTACCCCTTACAAAAAAAAGCAACCGCCTTAGGCCCCAAAATTTGAGGGGCCTCATTTTAAAAAGATTAATATGTTATACATATTTTTTCTAAAAAAATATTGAGTATTATTTATAGAAAATATAGACTTTTCATAAAAGAGCAAAGAAGTAATAGAAGTTTGATAAATTATGAGTACTATGTCTCAAGAAAGATTAAATAATTGGCTATAATAAACTTCATAAAAAAAAAAATCAAATCTAAGGCCTCCATTTGGATTTGGCTTTAGGCCACCGATTTATTAGAGCCGCCCCTGTGTATATTAATCCAAAATGTCTGGTCCAAGAGAGTTGTTGTTACAGGAAGTCAGCATGCAATATGATGATTTCTTTAATTTTTTGTCACTTAAAAATCTACACATGGCATAATAAGGACACAAATTGCCATATAGGGACACCACATTGGACGCATGTGTCTATTTGTTCAATTTTATGCAAGTTTAATTATTGTCATAATACATAAGTATGCTCTTTAACTTGACTTCAGCTGTCATCTATGCGCTCCAACTTTGAATGTGTATAAGTAGACACTTAAACTTGTATAAAATTGAACAAATAGACATATTCGTGGAACTTGACATCCTACGTGGTAATTTTGTGTCCTATTTGACGTCCTATATGTGTTCTTTCTTAATTTCTGTTTATTCATTTGTTCAAAACAGGTTTTGACTGTGCTCGTCTGTTGTGAAGGTTCCTGCAATGACCTCAAATGGAAAAATGCCAGGGCTAGCTCGAGGAGTAAAGTTCTCATCTACTGGGCCAAAAATTGAGTTTGGATCTTGTTGAGTCTTATGCGGACATTATTCATGGTGATTCGTTCTTGGGGAAAGTCAGCAGTACATTCAAGAGCTACATCCAATACCGATCTCAAACAACTTTCAATAGCTATCAAATGTTCATCATCATCTGTTGAAAATAAATTAACATCCACAATGTCCATGATTCTATGAGGATATGACTCCGCGACCAACTCTTCAATGTAAGGTCTCCAACAAACTCATCATCTACTGGCTTCTTTCTTGTGAAGGTTTCCATCAATAAAATGCCGTAGCTGTAAACATCTCCCAAGTTGACACTATCCCTTCTGACCCGTACTCTGCCACCAAAATGAAATACAACATATAAGCATATAGAATACCAGTTAAAGAAAGGGCAGTGAATGGGGCTGCTAGATCAAGTGTCTATAATCGAACAATGACGAACTCAAACAAGCTCGAAACTTGAGTTTTGGTCGAGATTGAAAGAGGATGCGAAGGCAATTTTTTAGAGCAGAAAATAGTAGTTAAGCAGTAATATGGTGTAATGGAAAAGCTTCTTAAAAAAAATGAACGCCGAAGCTGCTATGGAGGTCAAAGGACTGAAAATCTTTTTTTTAAAAATGAAGGCCGAGGTTCCTATAAATAGTGAAAAAAACTAGGTCTTTAAGATTGAATTTGGGCGGGATATCGATTGAGAAAATGGCTGTTTGAATTCAGAAATCGTACCTTTGATTCTCCATCAGAGATTCAAAAAGTCTTTTGGCTTCTTGTTGATCAAATTAAAGAAGAGAGATGTTTATCATGAAGAGGAAGAGAGTGTCTTGTTTTTCGCAGAAGAGAGACGTTGCTCTTGCACGAAAATAGAGAGACTGAACTCTGTCCATGGTTAAAGGTCTTCTGAAATTTCCTCAAAGAGGAAGAACGATGCTTTGGGACAAGGCGCAGCTGCTGTACAAGTTAGAATAAGGGCTTGCGTTTGGGCTGAAATTTTGAGTGGATTTGGGATGAGTTTTTGGGCTATTTTGGACAGATTTTGATATAAAATATGGGCTGAAAAGTTTTGGTCTTATTTGAGGCTGTTGGGCCAAATTTCTCACCCTTTTTCCTTTCTTCTTTTAAATTATTTTTGGGCTTCTAACTTAATAACTAATATAATACATATATTAAAAAATGATAACTAATGATTTGCATAATAAAATATCAATATTAAAACCTTACACTAATATAAAGTACAACTACAAAAAAAATAAGATTTTATAATTAATTAAATAGGTTAGAAACTTGAGAGAAGGCGACAACAAATAATTATTTTAAGAAAAGAAGGTGTAAAAGTGACAATAATCATTTCAATAATAAACATATAATTTTAGTAGATAAATAGTCATAATAGTAAAAATAGTTACGAAAAAGGATAATTTGATGAGTTATTAAATTAGAAGCTCGAAAACAATGAATTGGAAGAAAGGAGGGTCAAAATTGGGTGTCAACA